TGGAAAAGTTATCTACGATGGCATCAGACGAAGGTCTTGATATGTTTAAAATTGATAGGAGTATGAACAGGTAGACCATTTTATTCCGACTCATTGGCTCAATGAAGGCTTGCTAAATGTAAAATCTGAATCTCCTGGGTTCGATCACTAGCAAGGCCTCTTACGCACTCCTGAGAAGTCCCCTGTTGGGACAAAGGCTGTTATATCTATCCTCCAAGCTTTTCAGTGGTTCGCCAATTAATGTCAGTCTGTGATGAATTTCACTATGATTTCCAAAAGAATGAATATAGTGGAATATAGTTTTCACTAGACATATCACCTGGCAATCTTCTAAGAAGGGAATATATTCCTGAACTTAAGTGTATGTGGTGCTTTCAAATTTATACGTTAAAGTTTGATTTGTATCCTGAAATTTCAAAATGATCTAGCAATCATTTGTTCACTTATAAGCATCATTTATATCTTTTTTCCATCAACAGTCTCATTTTACTATTCTGACCTCCACTTAATAATAACAACTCACAACAAACCACTCTATTGCCTATGAACAAGTGATAACATCTATGTTTACCTTCATATCAGCTAATTATGTCACTTTTTGTATTTCTTTATGTGTAGACGAAATTGCATAAAACAAAAGAAGATTAGTGACTGACTCTGAATCATGTATTATTCTATGCTTCAATAGCATTATTTTCAGTGATTTCACCACAAACAACTATTTTTTCAAATCTCCTTATATTTTTTCTGATGCTGTCGAACAAGTCATTGACAGCTTGTAATGTTTATAGTGTTTAGCCTTTCAATAAACAATTAGTCTGCATCATCATTTTTGAAAAGCTCTTCTTTTAATTGCTTATAGCAGTATTTAATTATGTTCCTCATTGAACCAAATTCAGGATAATCTAAAAAAGACTCGAAGTAGAATAACCCATTATTTTAAAATTATGTGAGTTAGACTGCTTTCATTCTCAACAACAAGATATGTTTTTCAGAGCTAACGATTTAACAGTTTTTTCTCAAAAGTAAGAGATTTTTAGTTTTTCCTTTTAGGATGTTTTTTTACAGTGTATGATCATCCCATAAACCACAGTATAGTGTGAATTCATTCAGGTGTAACTGGTTCTATTTCACGGTAGATTATTTAGCAATGAAAAACATCTTCAAGGGTTTAGTATTTTTTTCACACACCCAAGCACCAAGCAGTCTTTATAGCTTAATTTTCCAGGGAATTAAAAGATATTCAGTTCAATTTTCCATTTTAAATTCAAAGACTACATTAAACTGTCGTGATGGCAATAAAAAGGTTTCGATTCAACACATTTTGAAGGTAGGATAAATTCGATGACAAATATTCTGGTTATAAGCAGCCTTCTAGCACGTTCACAGTATAATGTTTGTGAGCTTGGTAACCAGAGAAAAGACTAGGTTGACAGCAAGTTGACAATAAACCATTTTATGTAGCCATTATTTATTTGGTTTTCCCCATTCACACTGATTAGTTGGAAGAAAGAAGGACTGAGTTACTTCCCTGTATTGATAATTATTTGTCTGCTTCTGTCAGTAAATGATAACCACTCAGCTGTTCATCTTCAGGTAGCACGAGATTTAACCATTGTAACTTGTAAGATAAATTCACTTTGCGAATATTATGAGGAAATGAATACTTCCAGATTTGAGTTGTTTAGGATGTAAAAGTATGAAATAGTATTACACATCAGAATGTTATGTCTTCATTCAATTTTAACACTGCAACTTTGTACATGGCGCAAAAGGACATTTTAATGTGATTGTATTGAAGAGTAAATTGAACTGTAACACTTTGAACTGCGTAAGTTTATTTATTTTGTATTATCAGCTTGTAATTTTTTCAGGTCGACGCAATTATTTACGGCTCTACAGAATACTTTAAGGCTGCTTATTTTTTTTCAATATTTCATTATCCTAAAACCGTCTTTAAGAAATGTTTATTTTCTCAAGCCTTCTGGACATCATCCCTTTATTAAAGATGGGCTTATAAGAAAATTTAGATAATATAGGAATTGACGTGAAATCATACGTTCATTGGCGTTGATATTTGCATTCGACATTTGATATTCTTCAGTCTGTCAACTTCAGTTATCTTCAACCGACTGTACACATTGAAAAAATATTTATAAATCGAATTAAGTTTCTTATTTACTGGTATGGATGTTGTTCAACTTTAAAGACTGCAACTACAAGCTGTTTCAGAGTGAACACTGGGATGATCAATTAACAGTTACTATGTGTTGGCACGATTGCGTGAATTTGTAAAGAGCTTGCTTATCTTGACTTAACTGAAGATGAAATACAGTCTTCTCACCTGCATCGTACCCTTGACTTCTCAAGCAAACTGATTGATTTTTTGGCCATTATGTATCACCATATCATTCATGTTTTTTCGTTCTACTGTTTTAGTCTATAAGACAACTGAATAAGGTCTGTGTGATACAGTGGTAAAGAAACCGCTACAGAAATGGATAGTCTGACTTGTCTAATCGTGTTTTTTTAATGAACTACATTCGGAGGTATGCAAAAGGCAACTTAGTTGCTTTAAGGATTTAAAGTCAATTATTCCGTTTCCACAAAATCCTGTTGAAAAAATATATATACTATGGAAATTGTCTAATAAACTGCTTCATTCATGACGGTTTGAAAAAAATAACGATAAACATTCACTCACAGTGAGCAGGGTCACTTCAAATTCAAAATCTTGTTGTTGTAAACTACTCTGTTATTAGTAATAATCCCTTTAGTCTAACCAGTATATGTGTTACGGTGAATGTTCAGCACGTAATATCTCAACATTTTCACTCTTTTTGCAATATGTTTGGAAGAAATAATTATTGTTTGTCATTAATGTTAATACTAACAGTATTGATGGCATTAACGTGAAGTCAGCACCTGATTTTACATTATTATCTGGTCCGGATTTGGGAATGAACACGAAATAGGATATAATTTTGGTGGTGGTAGCTCAATCAGCCAATTCGAAAACCTGTAATTCAATATAGATATCCTGGGAATAATAATTGGCTGCATTTTGAGCATTTATAAGTCCGTTTTCATCCACCACAACGTGTTTTGCGCATTCTGTTTCTAGTTTGAGAAACGACAGGTTGAAAACATTTTAAAAAGAGCTGAGAGTACGTGATACACTTAGAAGACATACTTTTAAGATTAAATTAAACTCAAAGAGAAGAATTTGATAAAATATATTCGGTAGAAAAGTGCTTGGTATCCTAGGGTTTAGTCAGGCTTCTTTGGGGATCAAGTGGAAACATCAGTTTTACCAGATCCGAAAAGGGGCCACCAATGAAATACTCTACCACACTTAAGCGTAAAGCCTGGAGAAACTAAGAAAAGTACATATTCGCCTAAATTTCCTTCTTTTTAAGCTTTCATGACAATATCTTATCGAGTTGTCATAATTGAAATGGATAAAATGAAATGAATACTTTACATTTAGTTCTGCCTTTAAAACACAGTATCAGGATTCATGATTAAAAGATACAATTCTAGGCCTTCTTACAAGGCTAATGTGACTTGATTATCTGATCATTTTTTTCAACGTTGAGTGCTTTAGATAGTATTCTTGGGATTGGAATGACAACAACCTGCAGCAAGTACATGTTGTGCATCTCTTCACTTAAAAACATCCAGTTTAGGAACCCAAACTTCTGATTTCAGCGTAGACTCAATTTATATTACGTTCATTTACTATGGAAAATAATACACAACACCAGTGTAGGCACCTGAATAGCTACTTTTGAGTCATATGAAGGTGGTTTTATTTATGATTCACAACTAATAAAATCCTGTGGAGAATTAGTGTCACGGATATTTACGTATATTTGTAACAAAATTACCAGCAGCACCCACTGGTCTAAAAATACTGATTTAAACATCTCATGACAATGAAATTGAGTCAACTTAATATGAGTATTAATGCACATACATTCAAGCCATAGAGGTATGCTTAGGTTGTGCATTAATTAAAGTGTATCAGTCTGTGATTTGTACTGAAATTCAAGAAAAATTACTTGCAGCAATATTTTTATATGCAAACACGCAAAGAAACTGTCTATCGACGCCTAACGCTAACTTTCACTTTGTTTCATATAACAATGGAAGCCAAGTATAAAACCTACTGTTCAGCAAAAATTTCAAAGCCATGATGATTTTAATAGAAATCAAATATGATAAAGTGGCTGCAAGCATAATTTTGAAGATTCCTAGCTTCCTGGAAGTAAAATATGTATTTGTTGTCAAAATGCATCATCCCATTCGGGACACGTCAGTACATTCAGTACATTGTACAGTACATTTTACCCATTTTTTTCCCAGCCTTTGTATGCTCAAGAAACAACATTTCATAATCAAAATAGAAGTAAGACGAGACAAGAGGTAGACACTTATATGAAATAAGGGAGTCAGTTTCAAAAATAAAAACCATTTATCTGATAGTTTGAATTAAATAATTTGTGACACAATAACAAAAAAATATTTGAATTAAAAGAATAGCTAGGTTTGATAAACTATTAATCAGTAAAAAGGAAATCACACTAAATTTTGGTAGCAGATAGTTTTTGTAAAGCCTTTCCAAATCTATTAACTTACAACCGGCAACAGTGCTGTTGCAGTTTTGGAGTACTTAAATTGTTTAAAGAGTAAGCATAGGAATCTTAAAATATGACTGATGAGCACCTCCTAAAATTCACTATTAAAACTTAGAAGAAACGTATGCTCATAGTAAATGAAACAGTGTATCCTGTTGAAACAGAAAATTTATGATTATTTCTATTGGTTCTTGAATTCATTGGACAAAGTACTTAATTTATGTGTCTATGCTTAACTCCTACAAAATTAACCAATGTCAGTTTCTTATTTTTGAGGGTGTTCTGCATTAAATTTCCTCTTATAAACATAAAAGCTGGGAAACCATTTCAAAATTAAGAATCTTTTACTCAGCTAAAAAGAAAATTCGGTGGTTTTGATAACTCGCTCAAAACAATTGGGTACGTAGATTGGAGTGTAATTGTTTTTAAAGTTATTTTGTTAGTAGTTTATCAAAACAAGCAGCTAGAAATATCAAAGTTTGTATATGTCAGAAACATTTGAATCATATCAGACAAGTATTTTCTGTGTTGACTCGGTATTTTCTCCACATTCCTGCACGTTCATCTCCAATTCCTTTTGTAATTGATTCTGCTTTGCTAGTTTACTTACATTTTTGTAATAGTATAAGTCAAACTAATGAAGCTGCTCAAGTCCTAAGTTAGGAAACGATTCTACAAGTTTACAAAAGTTTGCTTTCAGAATGATCTCCGAACCAACATAACAAACACTATACTATTTATGAACGAAAATTACTGCAAAGCTATACACATTATATTTGTTCGATAGTGTTAGCATTTAGATGCATGGTTACAGCTTTACTCATGCTTGACGGAAATCGTTACCGCTGTGGCCATTATATACAAAGACGAACAGCATTACGTACCCTTTCGTCACTATCTTGAAACCTTTTAGGAAAATGTCTTCCTCATACGAGTGATACGTAGAAAGTATTATGTAACTGTTGCCAAGTTATGATAATCAGCTATATATGCATAAATATGTAAATACATAGTCGATCCTAACTATAATGACTAACTTCTCTACATGAACTTTCTTATGTCATGAATGAAATTCAGTTATATAAACATTTCTAGTCCTTCTATGGACATGTTATTTCTCCGTTTTCTTTATGCTCTCCACTTTTAGCTTATAGTAACAGTCATTTTATGCCAGTTTTGTGATAAACTTCCGATAACAACTGAACTTTTTTTCCTAACCATTGAGTTATTCTGTACAGATTGCTAGAATATCTTTCAATTGTTCTGTAGTTTCTTAGATGCATGCCTTGAATTCCTATGAGGTGTGCAAAGTTGGACTTTCATAAAGAGCATCAGCATCCATTCGTCGAATTTCGAAACAGGTTAGAGAACAAAAGCGTTTTTGGATGGATATGTGCTGTAGATTCAAAGTAGAAGTAAAGTAGGGCTAAATTATTTAGTCTTTATTTCAAAAGTTTGGGAGAATTGGTTAAAACTCTAAGTGGTAAAAATGTTTACAGTCTTAGGTGATAAATTGAAATTGTGAGCTTAAGTAAATGTTTCTGCTACTGAATGGATTTAAAATACGTACTAAACTATAAATATTCCAATATGTTCTGACCGTTTGAATGATTCCATTCGCTAAAAGCTAAGAGCTGAGATCTGCTCCGCTTAGTTAAATATAAGTGAGGTTTCAGCATTGTTTTAGTCAGTGAACAAATCTTTCGTGAAGATGTTCTGGCAACTGTTTACTAGTTAGAAGATACTTTCTGGTGCAGTAATATTTCGTTGTCAGTTTAATTAAGATTTAAATGCAACCACTAATTGTCTAGAGTAAATCCAACGTGATGTTCAAATATTTAGCAGTTATTACGTTTTACTGATATTTCGGAATTTTTTTAATGTTACAACGTAGCGCACCTGAAAAAGTATAGAATATTATCAAGTCAAACCAACAAAAAACTATTACTTTAAACCTATTTCCTTACCTGACGTTTTCGTTTCCTGTATGAATATTTTGTAACAAACATAAAATGCGATACATCCTCAGTAATAATGCATTACAACTGTTCATTTCTTTCTGCTAAAAGAAAAGACTTTTGATGTCATTTCATTTTTTTTGACTTACTGGCTCATTACTTCTCCTGTCGTTCTAAGTGGTTTCAAGCAATATTTTGCAAAAATAGACGAGAGAAAATTTTAAAAAAAGGAAGGCCATGTATTTGAGCTTAACAACTTTGAAGCAGAATAGTTCTTATGGCACTTCATAATTGTATAGCATGAGAGATACACAGTGCTACATGGTTGTTAGCTTTGAAATAATCCGGGAGCATAAGGGCAACCGGAAAATATTCACTGCACACTGAGTCTATTAGTTTGATGAACAGATTTTGTTCTGTTCTACTTAGTTATTTCATAGATGAAGTCTTATACAGGGATGCAAATTGTAAAGTCCTAAATATAGGAAAAACGGATGTCTACTGGCTTTTATTAGTTAGAAATTTTCCAGCAAAGGTTTATTTCGGATTAATTTTGTGGTCAAAAGAGCATCATCTAGCATTTAAATGGTCAAGGTACAAAATGCTGTCATAATAACAGCAAATATTAATTTTTACGTCGTATTGGTCCTAAATTTTTTCGCCATGAAAACTTCCATTCTTGTGTGGTTTTGGTTATGGTCAAGTTACACCGTTATTCATCATTAGATGCTATTTACCTGACAAATAATGTAGACTTAACCCTGTTCACAGGGTATATACTAGAGTTCTGGTTTACTAAGGTAAGATGTAAGATTAAGCACTATTGTGCTGAAAAGTGTTGACCTTTCAAACTGAAAAAAATGTACTTTGATCTGATAACTTAGTGGTCATGCCTTAACTATTAAATGTCACTTAAAAATGAATCTCAAAAATAAGATAACTGTTATCCATATTTCACAGAGGATTAGTCTATTATTCAAACAAGGAAATTCGAATTTCTTTGCTTTTTTCGCTATCTTTCCACTTATTACAGTTCATTTAATATTATTAAATGAATAAAGTGATATATATATATATATATATATATATATATATTACACAGATCTATTTATTTATGTCTGCTGTAGTAATGACAGTTAATTTCCAGCGTTAGCCTATATTTAATTCTTACTAACAGTTACATTCATAATCTATATTTATCAGTTTGTATGCCACACTGTTCTGCTAGTTGGATGTTTATGGACCTCTGGTGCATATATTATTGTTAGAAGTTACGTTAACTGAAGCCTAAATTCTGACTGTTGCCTAACAGCTCAAAATTTTAAACGGTAGGGAATTGAATAGAAATACGACTAAACACTATAATAAAAGAGCTGAACTTAAATGTTTTTCAAATATATAATATGAACTAAAAGATAGATAATAAGGTAAAAAAGCCACTGAAGAGCAGTACTGGAAAAAAAATATAATAAAATGGTCTACCAAAATTTCATTCGGTTGCAAAAACGCCCAACTTCCATTTTTTATTCCCATTTACAGGATGGTATCTTAATGGTATATTTTAATATCGAAAACTACTTTAGGTCTAAAAGAAAATCAGACTTCATGCTCTTGTGAAGAGCAACAAGAAATATGATTTTTATCCGAAGAAATTCCTTATTTTAAACCTTGATGGGCATCAGATAACAGTATAACTAATGTCAAAGCTATTGAGCTGTTCTGCTTGAAGAATAACTCAATTACACAGTGAACCTTTGACTCGCACACAACAGCAACTCCTGATAACATGTTTCAAAACCTGTTCAGTACCTAAGATAACTGGACTGCAGAAATTGGTGGGCTTTCCGAAATGCTATCAAAAGTTATTTCTCCAAGGTGATGACAGTAGTTCCTAATTTTTAAAACACAAATATGACAACACTATTGTTTCAAGAGAAACTACAACGCCTGATTAACACTTCAGTTATTTAGTGTTTTATTTTCACAAGTTTGAGCAACCACAGTTCTTCAAAATCAGTTGACAAAATCTGTCATAACTTATTAGCAACGAATCGGCCGCTCAACTACTAAGTGTCTTCAACATTGTATACAACTTGTCTATAATTGAGATATGTATTTTACAGCCAGTAGTTCCAAGATGAACGATTGTATTGAGTTACTAGCATTTGATGAGTCATCTTGTAGACAAAAAGTAGTGAACGATTATGGAGTTTAGGTCAAACCTTAAAAGTGATTAAGTTATTTCAAATCGCAAATTAAATATTTCTTACAATTTCATAGTGAAACTATTACATTGGTGGGTTGAATAGACATATTCAACGAATGTCTAAAACTTGTAAAAATACGTACAAATTGTTTGGAAAGGACTTTTAAACACAAGTGTTACACTGATATCAACTAACAACATCTTCTTAAACTATGTGCTTTCACACTAAATTTAGTTTCAATATGTTGTTGAGCCTTTTTAATGACATCGATCAGCATTTTAAAAAAATCGGTGAGGATAAGTTCTATTTTTTTAATCACGAACTTCAAAATACTGACCGTAATCTGGTTTTCATTGTTTCCACTCCATCTGTTCATCGTTAGATTGATTTTATGAATCAAATGGGCAAACCAAAAACAACGCTAAAACTTACTTCTCTCTATTAATTTTCATTATTCTTTTATGTCACGTTTTCTATTTTGGTTGAGTATTCCCTTTAGCTGAGTAAATCCCTTCTCTATGGAATATGTTTATATGAAATATTAAATAAAACAAAACTATTACAGCCATTTTTCGAATAAGCAATATATACATATATATTTATAAGATTTGTAAACTTAATAACAAAGAGGTCAAAATTAATTGCTTCTTTATATACACTGAAGCATGATCAAATTAAATGCTTACAATAACTGAACTGCCGATCGGCGTAAAGATAATAAATTATTCCGTACAAATTTCCCAATCAAACCAAAATCAACTTGAAAATGCACTTCCAAAGTACCTTTTGTTTTCATTTTAACTGAGGGGATTTATTTGAAGGTCACTGGTTTCACTTCTTTAGATATTATTAACGAAGGTAGATACATTTGGTCGGCGTAGGTTTAAATACTCACGAATGTCACTAAATGACAAGAATACACCTACCTTTATGAAATTTCTTTGCAACACATGTATTATTATAAAATTGTACATTCAAAATATGGTTATCCCTTCTGAGTGCAAGTCCCCTTTTCTAATAAGAAGTAAGTGAGTAAGTTTCATTGAGTATTAGATGACAAATTAGATAGTAAACAAAGCAATAAACAACAATAAATTTATTTCCAAGCCTTTAGAACTATGCTTCAATTTGCATTTTGTAATAGAGTTAAATGATCCTATCTTTGATATGCTGAGGGTTTTGAGAGACGATTTCACTATGACACTAAATTTTGTTGTAGAACGGTGAAATCTTC